GCACAGGCGGAGGGTGGCTCTGTTTCACTGTGAGGACAAGGACACTGGCAGCAGAAACTCTGCGAAGTACTCCTTGCTGTAAGCCCTCCCAGATTCTGCCATTAGCCCCTCCAAAGAGCCTACAGGTTCCAGTGCTGTCACCTCAGGCCAAACAACCAATAGAGACGGAACTCAGCCCCACCCATCAGCAGACAAGCAGATGAAAGTTTTACTAAGCTCTGCCCACCAGAGCAACACCCAGCTCTGCCCACCACCAGCCCCTCCCATGAGGAAGCTTGCACAACCCTCTTAGATAGCCTCATCCACCACCGAGCAGACAGCAGAAGCAAGAAGAACTACAGTCCGGCAGCCTGTGGAACAAAAACCACATTCACAGTAAGGTAGACAAAATGAAAAGGCCGAGGACTATGTACCAATGAAGGAACAAGATAAAACCCCAGAAAAACAACTAAATGAAGTGGAGATAGGCAACCTTCCAGAAAATGAATTCAGAATAATGATAGTGAAGATGACCCAGGACCTCGGAAAAAGAATGGAGGCAAAGATCAAGAAGATGCAAGAAATGTTTAACAAACACCTAGAAGAATTAAAGAACAAACAGAGATGAACCATACAATAACTGGAATGAAAAATACACTAGAAGGCATCAATAGCAGAATAACTGAGGCAGAAGAACAGATAAGTGACCTGGAAGACAGAATTGGTGGAAATCTCTGCCACAGAACAGAATAAAGAAAAAAGAATGAAAAGAAACAAAGACACCCTAAGAGACCTCTGGAACAACATTAAACACACCAACATTCACATTATAGGGGTCCCAGAAGGAGAAGAGAGAGAGAAAGGACCTGAGAAAATATTTGAAGAGCTTAGAGTCAAAAACTTCCCTAACATGGGAAAGGAAATTGCCACCCAAGTCCAGGAAGCACAGAGAGTCCCAGGCAGGATAAACCCAAGGAGAAACATGCTGAGACACATAGTAATCAAATTGACAAAGATTAAAGACAAAGAAAAGTTATTAAAAGCAACAAGGGAAAAATGACAAATAACATACAAGGGAACTCCCATGAGGTTAACAGCTGATTTCTCAGCAGAAACTCTACAAGCCAGAATGGAGTGGCATGATATAAAGTGATGAAAGGGAAGAACGTACAACCAGCATTATTCTAACCAGCAAGGATATAATTCAGATTCGATGGAGAAATCAAACGCTTTATAGACAAGCAAAAGCTAAGAGAATTCAGCACCACCAAACCAGCTCTACAACAAATGCTAAAGGAACTTCTCTAAGTGGGAAACACAAGAGAAGACAAGGACCTACAAAAGCAAACCCAAAACAAGAAAATGGTAGTAGGATATACATATTGATAATTACCTTAAATGTGAAAGGATTAAATGCTCCAAACAAACACAGGCTCGCTGAATGGATACAAAAACAAGACCTGTATATATGCTGTCTACAAGAGAGCCACTTCAGACCTAGGGACACATACAGACTGAAAGTGAGGAGATGGAAAAAGATGTTCCATGCAAATGGAAGTCAAAAGAAAGCTGGAGTACCAGTACTCATATCACATAAAATAGACTTTAAAATAAAGAATGTTACAAGAGACAGAGAAGGACACTACATAATGATCAAGGGATCAATCCAAGAAGATATAACAATTATAAATATGTATGCATCCAACATAGGAGCACCTCCATACACAAGAAAAATGCTAACAGCTATAAAAGAGGAAATCGACAGTAACACAATAATAGTGGGGGACTTGGACAGATCATCCAGACAGAAAATAAGGAAACACAAGCTTTAAATGATGCAATAGAGCAGATAGACTTAATTGATATTTATAGGACATTCCCCCAAAACAGCAGATTACACTTTCTTCTCAAGTGCACACAGAACATTCTCCAGGATAGATCACATATTGGGTCACAAATCAAGTCTCGGTAAATTTAAGAAAATTGAAATCACATCAAACATCTTTTCTGACCACAACGCTGTGAGATTAGAAATAAATTACAGGGGGAAAAATGGTAAAAAACACAAACACAAAAAAAGGCTAAACATTACGTTACTAAATAACCAAGAGATCACTGAAGAAATCAAAGAGGAAATCAAGAAATACCTGGAGACGGGTTTCCCTGGTGGTGCAGTGGTTGAGAGTCCGCCTGCCAATGCAGGGGACATGGGTTCATGCCCTGGTCCGGGAAGATCCCACATGCCGCGGAGCGGCTGAGCCCGTGAGCCATGGCCGCTGAGCCTGCACGTCCGGAGCCAGTGCTCTGCAACAGGAGAGGCCACAACAGTGAGAGGCCCGCGTACCGCCAAAAAAAAAAAAAAAGAAAAGAAATACCTAGAGACAAATGACAGTGAAAACACGACAATCCAACACCTATGGGAGGCAGCAAAAAACATTCTAAGAGGGAAGTTTATAGCAATACAATCCTACCTCAAGAAACAAGAAAAATCTCAAATATGCAATCTAACTTTACACCTAAAGGAACTAGAGAAAGAAGGACAAAACCCAAAGTTAGTAGAAAGAAAAAAATCATAAAGAGCAGAGCAGATATAAATGAAATAGAAACAAAGAAAACAATAGCAAAGATCAATAAAAGTGAAAGATGGTTCTTTGAGAAGATGAACAAAATTGATAAAACTTTAGCCAGACTCATCAAGAAAAAGAGGGAGAGGACTCAAATCAATAAAATTAGAAGTGAAAAAGGAGAAGTTACAGTGGACACCACAGAAATACAGAGCATCATAAGAGACTACTACAAGCAATTCTATGCCAATAAAATGGACAACCTGCAAGGAATGGACAAATTCTTAGAAAGGTATAACCTTCCAAGACTGAACCAGGAAGAAATAGAAAATGTGAACAGACCAATCACAAGTAATGAAATTGAAACTGTGATTAAAAATCTTTCAACAAACAAAAGTCTTGGACCAGATGGCTTCACAGGTGAATTCTATCAAACATTTAGAGAAGAGCTAACACCCATCCTTCTCAAACTCATCCAAAAAACTGCAGAGGAAGGAACACCCCCAAATTCATTGTATGAGGCCAACATCACCCTGATACCAAAACCAGACAAAGATACTACAAGAAAAGAGTATTACAAACCAATATCACTGATGAATATAGATGCAAAAATCCTCAACAAAATACTAACAAACAGAATCCAACAACACATTAAAAAGATCATACACCGTGATCAGGTAGGATTTATCCCAGGGATGCAAGAATTCTTCAATATACAGAAATCAATCAGTGTGATACACCATATTAACAAATTGAAGAATAAAAACCATGTGATCATCTCAATAGATGCAGAAAAAGCTTTTGACAAAATTCAATACCCGTTTATGGTAAGAAAAACTCTCTAGAAAGTGGGCATAGAGGGAACCTACCTCAACATAATAAAGGCCATATATGACAAACCCACAGCAAACATCATTCTCAATGGTGAAAAACTGAAAGCATTTCCTCTAAGATCAGGAGCAAGGCAAGGATGTCCACTGTCACTGCTATTATTCAACATAGTTTTGGAAGTCCTAGCCATGGCAATCAGAGAACAAAAAGAAAAAAAAAGAATACAAATTGGAAAAGAAGAAGTAAAACTGTCACTGTTTGCAGATGACATGATACTGTACATAGATTATCCTAAAGATGCCACCAGAAAACTACTAGAGCTAATCAATGAATTTGGTAACATTGCAGGATACAAAAGTAATGCACAGAAATCTCTTGCATTCCTATCCACTAACAACGAAAGATCAGAAAGAGAAATTAAGGAAACAATCCCATTCACCATTGGAACAAAAAGAACAAAATACCTAGGAATAAACCTACCTAAGGAGACAAACGACCTGTACTCAGAAAACTATAAGACACTGATGAAATAAATCAAAGATGACACAAAGAGATGGAGAGATATACCATGTTCTTGGATTGGAAGTCTCAATATTGTGAAAATGACTATACTACCCAAAGCAATCCACAGATTCAATGCATGCCTATCAAATTACCAATGGCATTTTTTACAGAAGTAGAACAAAACATCCTAAAATTTGTATGGAGACACAAAAAACCCCTATTGTTTTGGTTTTTTTTTATGGTTAGTAACTTTTGGTCCTGTCTAAGAAAATTTTGCCTACCCCCAAATCATGAAAATATTCTGGTTTTTTGTTTCTATGCATCTTGGTTGCAGCTTTTATATTTAGGCCTATCTATGATCCATCTCAAATTAAATTTCCTGTGTGGAGTGAGATAGGAGTTGAGATTTGGTTTTATTCATACATATCCTAGTTGTTTCACCACCACTTCTTAAAAATGAATTTCCTTTCCCCACTGAATTGCCTTGGCACCTTTATCAAAATTCAATTGACCATATATACATGGGGTTTTACTGGAGTTTCTATTTTGTTCCACTAGCCTGTTCTCAGGCCAGTACCACACTGTTTTAACTACTGTAGCTTTACATTCTTGAGATCAAGTGGCATAAATCCTACAACTTTGTTCTTTTTTTTCAAGATGATTTTATCTAATCTAGATCCTTTGCATTTCCATAAAATTTTAGAATCCAATTTCTTTAAATAAAAAAAAGCCTATTGGGGTTTTGATTGGGACTGCATGAAATATATAGACTAATTTTGTGGGAAATCTTTAAATGATTGAGATTTCATAAACATATACCATGACATGATATATATTTACTTTTATTTAGGTCTTCTTTAATTTTTCTTAGCAACATTTTACAAGTCTTGCACATAGCCTTAGATTTATTCTTAAGTAATTGTGCCTATGATGCTACTGTAAATGGTATTTTTAAAATTTCATTTTCTGTTGTTTGTTGCTAGAATATATAGAAGTACAATTGAGTTTGTATATTAACTTTGTATTCTGCAATCTTATTAAATTCACTTTTAGTTCTAATATTTTTATAGATTAAATAGGTTTTTCTACATACACAATCATGCTTTCTTTGAGTAATGACAGTTATGTTCTCATCTTCATGCCACTTGTTTCTTTTCTTTTTTTCTGTATTGTACTGGCTAGGACTTTCAGTACGGAGGTGAATAGAATGGCTGAAATGGAACATTCTTGCCTTGTTCCTGATCTCTGTCTTCAAATTAAGCATGTTAACTGTAAGCTGTTCTAAGATGACTTTTATCAACTTGAGGAAGTTCCTTTCTAGTCCTAATTTGCTGAGAACTGTAAGCTGTTCTAAGATGACTTTTATCAACTTGAGGAAGTTCCTTTCTAGTCCTAATTTGCTGAGAACTGTAAGCTGTTCTAAGGTGACTTTTATCAACTTGAGGAAGTTCCTTTCTAGTCCTAATTTGCTGAGAACTGTAAGCTGTTCTAAGATGACTTTTATCAACTTGAGGAAGTTCCTTTCTAGTCCTCATTTGCTGAGAACTGTAAGCTGTTCTAAGGTGACTTTTATCAACTTGAGGAAGTCCCTTTCTAGTCCTAATTTGCTGAGAACTGTAAGCTGTTCTAAGGTGACTTTTATCAACTTGAGGAAGTCCCTTTCTAGTCCTAATTTGCTGAGAGTTGAGAGTTTTTTCTGGTTTTTCGTTTTTTGTGGGTTTTTTTTTTTTTAACATGAATGAGTGTTGAGTTTTGTGACAGAGACCATCTGGCCCGAAAGCCTAGAATATTTACTATCCAGCCCCTTAAGAAAAAATTTCTGACCCCTTCTCTAGAGAAAAATATAAAAGACACCCCGGTTCATAGCACATTTATCAATTTGGATCTAATCAAGAGACAGAAACCACACAATAATTTAAACAGGATAAGGTTAATATAAAGACCGTTCGGGCTTCCCTAGTGGCACAGCGGTTGAGAGTCCACCTGCCGATGCAGGGGACACGGGTTCGTGCCCCGGTCCGGGAAGATCCCACATACCGCGGAGCGGTTGGGCCCGTGAGCCATGGCCGCTGAGCCTGCGCGTCTGGAGCCTGTGCTCCGCAACGGGAGAGGCCACAACAGTGAGAGACCCGCGTACCGAAAAAAAAAAAAAAAAAGACCTGGGCTGAAAGGGAGTAACCAAGGAAGGACAAACTTGGAATGGGACCCCCTCCCCGCCCCCGCCAAGGCTAGCATTTAGACTTTTTTGGATCTGGCATACTTGCAGCCCAGTAGATGGCAGAGAAGTTCACTGGTTTGCACAGGCCTGAGCTGATCTGCAGTTGCTGGGCCAGCAAGAAGCAACTCACAGAATGCAGGTGCGGTGAAGCCACAACCAGTGGCTGTGGCCACACCAGTGTGCCAAGAAAGCAGGGACACCAGTGTAAGATGGAGATCTGGAGCTGTGGTGTTGTGTCAGAAGGGTTATGGCACCAAAAGTCCCAGGAGACAAATCTGGGGGTGGGGCATAGGGAAGCAGATGGAGTTGCAGCACCAGTGCAGGCAGGATGGGCTGCAGCATTCGGTGTCCATGCTGAGAGAGCTGCAGGAAGGCGACCACCAGCTCGGGCTGAGGCTGAGACATCATCAAAGGACTGTGTGTTCTAGGCATATGGGGGGCGGGGGGAAAGCACCACTGGTCATTCTCACATCCTCATTGCTGACCGATGGTGCAGCCACCAGAAGCAGAAGAGTCCCTTCCTGCTTCCTCTACTGAGAAAGCTTAACATCTTGCACCCCGTACAAAACAAATGCTTAAAGTAATACCGGGGAGCAGGTAATACTGGGGAGCTAAAAGGTAATGACTCGATAACTGACGTAGTATGGTTGAAGAACGGGGTATGCTGGGCAATCAAGTATTTGACCCACCTAGTATTCTATTAGAACATCTTGGAATAAAAGTGAAAACTAGGTGCTTTTTTTTTTTTTAACAGATGAACCCGAGTCCCACATTAAATTAATTGCTCAAATTTAAGAAATTTTAAGTAAAATTCTAGACTTTATGTCAAAATAAATCCAATTGTATTACAGAGTTAATATTAAGAATAAAAACATGTAAAACCATCAAAAAAAAAAGAGTAGACATCATATGTGTAGTGGAATTTTGCTTCTAGGCCTTCAACGAATTGAATGAATCTCAGTGGGAAATGTTTGCAAGTCTGTAGAATAAATATTATCATAGCTCAAATAAAAAGGCAAACCAATTGGGGAAAATATTTTCATCAAATAAACCAGAGAGAATCTCTCCCAGTATTGCACAAAACCTCATGAAAATTGAAAGGAAAAACATCTTTTTTTTTTTTTTTTTTTTTTGTGGTACGTGGGCCTCTCACTGCTGTGGCCTCTCCCGTTGCGGAGCACAGGCTGCAGACGCGCAGGCTCAGCGGCCACGGCTCACGGGCCCAGCCGCTCCGCGGCATGTGAGATCTTCCCGGACAGGGGCACGAACCCGTGTCCCCTGCATCGGCAGGCGGACTCTCAACCACTGCGCCACCAGGGAAGCCCAAAAAACATCACCTTTAATGTAAAGTTGGACACGAACAGATGATTCACCAAGAGGAAACAGAAGTAACAGACATGAGAAAATGTTCAATTTTACTACCTCTTATTGAGATGCAATTTAAAACTATGGTGGGGTACAGTTTAGCATGAAATGTGAAAAATAAAATAGAATGCTGGTGGAAAAAAACGGTGGAACTGGCAAATCTTTGATGGCAATAGAAATTGCTAAAACTTCTCTTGAATTCAGATGTTTATATCTCTGGAGTAATCCTACTTCTGGGAACCTAAGGAAATAATAATTCTACCATATAACCTAAAATAATTACAAAAAATAGGAAAAGGCTCTATGCATGTGTTTTTGGCAGTCATTTAAAGGATTGAAAAATAGGAAATAATTTAAATGTACATAAGAAGTTCAATAATTGTGTAAATCATTCTATTGATCATATAATTCATTTGACCATGATCGTGGCCAGTGATAAAAGATTTGGCCACGACTAAAAAGCATTGGAAACTAATGCAGCAAGATAGGCTATTTCTCAAGATAATTGAAAGCAGAATAACAAAATTGTATTTACATGTTATTATGACTGTGAAAGAGAATATGTGTATGTGAAGAAAATCTAGAACATAACATAAAATGCTATGTTCTCACCTCTTTTCTATGTGATCTATTTCTATTAAGTCGGCTTTATTTCTCCTTAACTTTTTGCCAATTTTGTGGAGACACATCACCCTGAAGCTTAGCGTCACATTGGCTGAGGTCTGCTAAGCCACGTCTCCTCTTCCTGTGCTGCGGTGGCTGAGTTTTCAGGACCCTAATGCAGAACCTTATACTTGTTCCCGTTACAGTTTTTTCTTGGTCTGTATTTTCAGCCCATTGCTGAAAGCGCTCAAGATGATTTTGGACCCCGATTTACACCCCTTATTTGCCACATTTCCTGAGGGCATGTTAGCCATACATTCTATCTATATTAAAATGTCCAGGAACACTCCATACGGTTTACCCCAGGCCCTGATGAGAATGTGGTCCTGAGTAGTACTGAGCTCCAGGGTACATCACATCTATTAATGAGCGCCTGTGATGACATTCATGCTACCATCCACTAGAACAGCCTTGCATCCAGTACACATTTGCCAGCTCTAACAATTAGCAGAGGTCATTGTCCTCTTTTGTGGGTGGAAAATGAAGGCTTTAGGCTTAGAGGAAAGCTCGTGTGATGTGCCCAGGCCAGGGCCAGTTTCGGTTGTAATGGGGATCAAGTTTGCCCTCAGTGTCCAGTATCTGTCACCTGGGCCCTTGACCCCTCTGATACCACCCACCCCCCTGCCATGGCATCCACGCCATCCCACCCTCAGTGGTCTCTAGCATCATCACATGGTCTCCTCAGTCTTATCAGAACTTTTTATTTGATTCTTTATCCACACTCTATCACCCGGAGCTATCTGCATTTTAACAGGGATCAAAGTTTGGAAATAGAGGGATGAAATTCTGAGGGTGGAATTGCAGGCACTGGTGGTCAGAGAGAGGAGATGGGGGCCTTTTTGGCAGCCCCTACCTGTCCACTGCCTGCAAGGCTGGCCTGAATGGGGTGTCTCCTGGGACAAGGTAGATTAGACCCTACAGCACCACGGTCCTCCTCAGGCCTTTAATGATATTTGGATAGAATTCATAACTCTTCACATTTCATTAATTTAAGTTAATTTTCCTTCTGTTCTTCCAACTGCCAGGTAGGTGAGGGAAACATGTCATCATCATTGAGAAGGAAACAGGCAAAGTGAGCCTTAAAATCTAAAAACAACTGCTTCTTCCCACCTCGGGGACTTTCCTCCCCAGATGACTTTGCACTGATGGCAGAATTTTTGCTGGGGAAATTGGTTCATCATTGCTTCTCATGTGAACCTTGCCTGCCTCTGCATAAATATTTTATTTCCTCAAAGCCATTCCTACAAATTGCCTTATCATTTACCAAGGATCTAGACCATCTGCCAGGGTAGGCCCACACCCTCCCCCTTACCGATAACTGGGCTTATCTGTTTGCATTTCTACTTCTCATCTGCTAGTCTGGCTTATCTGCTTATCCGATTGCATGTTCTTTAGCACAATGGACACCATATGGCCCCCAGCAGAAGTAGCTGCCTTGTTGCCCACCTATGGGCACAAATTATGTGCCTTCCAACCCTAGCCTATAATCATCAGGTCACCAGGACATCTGAAATTTGTTTGTACTAGGCAGATTTTCCATAATTAGAATAGCAAAAATTTAGTTCCCCTCCCCAGTTTATGAAATCAAAGTGCATCATGTGCACCCAGAATAAATAACAAATTGTATATTTACAGAGTAAAACTGAAAGACCTAAAGCTACAAGAAACATCACTGAATCTTAATATTGATTGAAAAAATAAATCCCAGAAGACTATATAGACCATAATTACACCATTTCTAAACTTTAAAACAAAACTACATATCACTGGGGAGTCCCCTAAGCCACACCTATACAGGCTCATACTCGGACTCAATCCTTCTGGGCATGGCGAGTATTTATCCTTTCATTTCTCTGGCATTGAAGTCACAGGTGAATAGAACTGGTCTCACCAGGTTCCCTGGGGCCAGCCTTCCTCAGCTCCTGATGGCTGGGTGCCACCCTTTTCCCCACAGACCCCTTCTCATTTCTTTAGTGAGTCCTGGCTGAGGCTGAAACAACCTAGGACTCACCTAGTCCTCCCCCACTCCCAGTCTCACCTGCCCCATCAGAATGAGGAAGCGATACCTTCTCCACAGCACCCTTCAAACTGTGGACTCCCTCTTCTGGCACAAGGCTTTGGGTTTCTGAAGATCCCTCTGCTGGGTGTCTGGATACCATGGACCTGTTAGGACCTCCCACTAACTTGTCTGGGATTGCCTGGTGCTGACAGTGTCCTGCATCTCGATAAAGGATTGCTGACCCTTCCACACTGTGCCATACACACCTGCTTGTACCTCAGATGAAGCTTATTAAGCAGTAGGACAGGTCCCCAGAGGCCACCCCACTCAGTGTGCCTTTGGCCCTATCTGGACCTTCCATCCTGGCGGCCCAGGATCTTGCCGCTGGATGCCTTTCCAGGCAAATTCACAGATATATCTTCTCCGGTCTCTTTCTGTTCATTTCCCGTCTCAGTTCACCTGTTTCCACATTTCAGGTGCCAAAAGTTCTTCAGTGATAACTCTAGCCACCCACATAATTTCCTACAGGGCAATTACATGCTCCGTCCTGTAGTGGATGCTCTACTTCATCAGATTCAGCGCACTTCTCCATTTTATTGTCAATTTTGTAAGGTCTTGCTTTCCCCCTCATATCTTAGAAATGGTCTGCATTTCAAAAACAAAGTCCAAATGGATTTTTCATTTTTAGTCTTATGCCTTAAAATTGTCTCATGATAACTACTACTTTCTCCAAAATCAGCATTTAAGATTCTTTAGAAGCTCTGAAATGTTTCTGGGCAACAGAGGATTACCACCTGCTTCCTGTCTTCCCTGAGGACAAGGCAACAGGAAACAGCTTTAACTTGTATGGTAAGTTACAGGGATTAGAGGAAATGCAGCATTTCCCAATAATGAGGGCCGAAAACAAAATTGCACAGGGTAACTGATGTATGTGGGAGACTCTCTGGATTGAGGAGACTAAAGGTCTTAATGAGGCCATAGTCTCATGAATTATGTTTTCTCGTGTGTTAAATTCACTTCACATTTCTTCCAGGAGCCCAAATGATAAAACAAGAACTCTCCTCCAACTTCTGTGGCTTCAGCTTTGTTTTGTTGACTCACCACCTCCATTCATTTGCTTTCACATAACCAGAATCCTTTGAATCTGAACAATTAAGCCTGACTTTTCAAGGAAATTTTTGCTAGGCTTTACTTCCCTTCTCTAAGATGAATGTGTGTACGTGTGCACGTGCCATTCTAACTCTTTATTTCTCCAGTGAATAGTGTACACTTCATCTCTCCCTTGAAATGTTGCATGAACTTGAAAACTTGTCTTCTAAAGACAATTTGCTCCATGAATAATAGACAGTGTGATATGTATGTTCAGGAAATGCCACATACTTGAAGCCCTCAGGGAAACCTCTGGTTTTCAGGCTGCTGGGGGAACTGCTCCTTCAGAGTTTCTTACTATAAGAGTGTCACTCATGGGAACCTAGAACCCAGAGGCTTCTTGTCCCAGACAAGAAGGCTCCTGGGACCTGTTCCTTCCATCTAGAACCTAAGTGAAAGGGAGGTGAGATTAGGTCTTCATCCTGAATATGTCCTTAGATAAATGACTTCTGTGGAGAAAGTGAGTTTGGAGAAAGGTGGAGGTTTTGTTAAAGTTATTTTCTTCGAAAAGAGTTTAAGAAACTCATAAACTCTTTCACAGAGGGCAATGAATAACAACTGGATTGGTGGGTTTTAATTTTTGATTTGGGGAATCCGTGTTGTCCGGTGTGATAGAGGGAAACCAACATTCTGCAAGGAGAATACACAATATCCCTAAGACACATTTGTTTCTAAAACCCTCCCCCTAAGATTGTAAATGAGTTTAAGGGGATATACATTCCCACCTTTAAACTTCAAACTCCCAGATCTCTGCTGTGTCCTCATGCCGCATGGATTACACTACTGGTAAAACATCCCAGGAAGGAGTCCAAGGAGGCCGTTCGCGGTTAGGGGAGGGTCCGTATTTGACAGACAGACTTTTCTGCTTTCTTGCTCCTGGCTCGCCCCTCTTCCCTTGGAGCCCACGGTGATGCGAACGAGTGGCTTCTGCCTCTTCGGGGACCGCCTTTGAGGCTCCAGAGCCTCACCTGACTTTCGCAGAGAGAGGCGGGCAACCGGCTCCTTACGCCACCTGAAGAGGAGGGTCCTGGGGCCCGAGAGTGTGGGAGGGAGTGAAGCCGGAGCTGCGGCCCAGAGCGGGGAGGAGACGCTCTGCCAGACACAGGCGCGCCGCGGAGAGCTCAAACTTTGAAGTGGGGTAAGGATTTTAGGGGCCCTTGAGCTGGTTGTTCTTGGGGCGCTGGGAGGTGCGCGGGGGACGCAGACTCCAGTCACCGTGTGGATTAAAGAAGTACGCCCAGGGCAGTGGGGTGGCGGAGCCCTAGGGCGGGCGCGGCGCTGTCCGCACCCCCCGGTGCTGAAACGGGCCACATCTCGGCAGGAAAGGAAGGAGCAGAAGCAAGAGCCAGCTCTGGCATCTGCTCCCACCCGCGGCACACACACAACTCCCTCCAGCAGGGATCAAAGGACTAGAAGGCGTCCCCTGCGCCTCCTAAGTCTATCGCACCCCTTTCTACTCACGTCCCGCAGACGCGCTGGGCCAAGTCGGGCTGAGCCGTCAGGGCAGGAGGCAGAAGAAGCTGGGCTCCTTCAGCAAAAGGATGGACACCACCCCCGAGACACGTCCCCAAGAGACCCTGTACCCGAAGGCCGCGCCGCCTCGTTCCCCGGGCTCCAGATCCGGCTCCCGAGCAGAGTCTCCCCGAGTACGCGCGGCGCGGGTGGAAGTTGTGTCCATGGCTTGGAGGGGGCAGGAGCCAAGGGGACCCCCGCCGGCGTCGGGGGACTGCCTCCGCTGGGCCCTGCTCAGCCCTGAGGATGCAAAGAGACAGGTGGGCTGCGGAGGAGGCAAAGAATGAAAATACTTCGGGGGAGTGAGCAGTCACTCTTTTTTGTTTTTTTAACGACAAAATCATGATCCGCGATCTTGGCTGCTCTGGCCTTAGGGACTTAGTGCTCAGGAGCGAGGAGAAGGGCCGGGGCGGGGTGGGCCTCCGATCCTCTGCAAACCCCTAACCGGATAATCACACGGGCCCTCTGTCCTCGTCCTCCGGCTTTTCTCCCCAGCTCAGCCCTCACCCCCGCCCCCGACGCCCCGAGGGGGGCGCGGCCAGCAGCCCCTCGCTCTCCAGCAACCCTGGGCAAGGACTGGATGACCGGAGGAAGTGCCGATTCATTTTTCCCTCCGTGTGATTCCCCAGTTCACAGCTGCCCTACTTTATGCTGTTGTTGAGACTAAAATTTGTCATTCTGAAGTGGGTATCTCTAGTTAGACACGGCATGTGGCCGAGGGTCAGTGGGGCAAGAGCAGAGGGGACCTGGAGCCCGTGGCTGGGACCCCGTGGCGGTGGACGCGGTGCCGGGGACACGCAATTCGCTCGCTCAGCGCTCTCCCTGCCAGCGGTTCCGCCGGCGCAACCCCTCTCCCGGAAACCAGACGGCCCGACGGTGGGCGCTCCTCACCAAATGTTCCGGAGGGGCGAAGCTGGGGCCGGCGCCTTCCCTGGTACCTCACACCCTGGGGCAGTGACTGGCTACCTGGGTTCGGGCTCTACCCCGGAGTGTTCAGTCCAGACCCCTGTCTCTATGGACCTGTCCACCAGCCCCTCCCTCGCACACACACGCACGCACACACTTTCATTCATAAAAACGGGCAACGACGTCGTTGTCTAGGCATGGGGTGACATACTCCCTGAATGAGAAATCACGGGAGGGGGCGATGGAAAGCCGGGCCGGGAGGAGGGAGGTGACCCCTGTCACGGCCACTCCCTGAGCTAGGTCCTTGTACGCCAAAGTCCCGGATTCTTGACAATTCCGCTAGGTCAGGGAAGCGAGTTAGCATTTCACTGAGCTAGCGGGACTCCCTTGGCGGGGAGCGGGTGTGGCAGGAAAGACGCGAACTTCCCTTCGCAAGAACGCCCGAGCGCACGCACTTTTCCTTCTCAGCCTTTGTTCTGTCATAAACGGGGCCCTCGTCGGGCGTGGGATGCCAGGAGAGGGTGACTGGCTGCTCTCCGGGTGACTGGTCCCCACACGATCTCAGTCACTTTATCTGGGACTTTGGCCGGGACTGCGTGTGCCTCTTGCCTTTGATGCGCCTGTGTTTCTGCCTTTTCGGTAGTCATTCACTATCTGCCGGCGATTGCTGCGGCTGGTTAATAATGGGGTTGCCATGGCGACCAATTTCCCGTCGCCATGGTACCCAGGAGGTAAACAGTTGGAAGCCACCGAAGCTCTTCAGTAGCTACCCCCCCCACCCAGATCTTGTACAGGCTGCGGGTTTCCTGTGGTTGTGAGGGAGGGATGGCAATGATCAGGTGCTGTGGTCCCCTCTTCCCTCCCAACCCACACTGTCTAGCCGCCTGTTCACCTGAAACCCTCTCTTAATCCCTGCCAATCACTGCGGCCTCCAGGTTGGGATGGGTCCAGCTTTTACCTCCATCCCCCAACTGCTACAATGAGGCTGGGGTAAATGGTTTTCCCTTTGACCTAATTCATGTCAGCTGCACACTGTCTACTCCTGAGTACAAATGACAAGACTAAGCCCTGCGGGAGACAAAATTAATTAAACAAACACAGTCCCTGGCCTCTGGACATCATGGTGTAGGGATGGCCTCTGCTCTGGGCTGCAATAGGGGTGATAACAGTGTCCCAGAGTAGAGAGAAGTGGGAGTGACAGACCCCCCCCCAGGGGAGGCCATAATGGAGTTGAAACTAAGGAATTTCAACTGCTGAGCAAGAGGGAAAACGTCTCTCTAGGCAGAGGGACTAGCAGGAGCCAAGATGTGCGTTTGTTCAGGAGAGGATAGACCCTGCTGTGGAAACACATAGACTCGTAATAGGGGCAGAGCCGCGCGCAGCCCTTAGCGCACGACAGTTATCGCGAGACCCTGAGCACGCGAGACCCTAAGTGCACGAGAGCCGGAGCGCTCCGGGGGGTTGGAGGTCTGGCTGCCCCGAGGAGCACAGCTGTCGTGTTCCTCGTAGCAGAAAGTGCGGCGAGACGCGGACCTTGGCCTTCTCTCCTGGGCCCTGCAGGCCCTCCGGTCTCCGAGCCTGAGGGTGAGCTGGGGCGGGGGGGGCCCGGGGACAGGCTGAGGGCTGTGTCCCCCAGAGCTCCAGAGTCCTCTTCACTGCCACCCACTGGCCGGGCCCAGACCTTGAGGCAGCAGCGAACCCCTCTCCCATCCCCGCCTCCGCGACTTCATGGCGGCGGCCGTCTCCATGGATCGCAGTCCCTGGAGGCCTCAGCAACGGGAGTATATGGACACAGCCATGAAGGTAACAGCTTCAACCAGCTTCAGTCTTTCCGTTCAAGTTTCTAAACTTGGTCCAGCTTAGATCAGTTGTCCACCCCTAGGAGGTGGCCAGGGGTCAGGGTTAAATTGCAAGGGCATTGCACGTCGTGACTGCAGGTCCACCTCTGTCGTGGGGCTGTTCTCAAAGCAGGGCACTTGTGGTGAGCTGGGCATTCACCTGATTGGTATTTGCTACACCATGTGCTCCTGTTGATGCTCTGCAAATGATTCTCTCCAGCTTAAATGAAAAGCCTGAGGGCCGACTGGGTGCGGCGTGCCTGGCTCCTTCAGTGATGAAGGCTGGATGGGGTCTGGGGACCTGGCCCGAGGGCGCCACCAGCTGAGATCTGCCTCCTCAGCGGAGCCTGGGCATTGGCGGGAGGACCCAGACTGGGCGCTGGATGAACACTCCCGGGCAGGATAAGCGACCTGCACAGGCTCCTCTTAGGCAGGACCTGGACCTCGGAGGGCGGAAGTTGAGCCTTGGGCCCTTGCCCTTTCTTGTCAGAATAGAGAAAGACATTTGTTTTGGTAGAGATTTAGGGGAACATCATGACCTGACCGAGACCCGACCTCAAGAACAAAGGATCAGACACCAAGAAGTTAGCAACAACTAACCACGCCCCTCCCTCACCTTTCCTACAAAAGGGCTCTGCTGAAAGCTTTCAGGGAGTTCAGGGTTTTTAAGGCATGAGCCACCCGTCTCCTTGCGTGGCCCTGCAGTAAACCTTCCTCTGCTGCCAACTCCGACATTTTGGTATTGTTGGGACTCACTGTGCGTCAGGCACACGGACTTGCGTTCGGTAACAGACCCAGAACGTCTCAGTGGCTTAGCCCATGGCCTATGCGATGTCTGAGGTTCCGAGGCACTTGGGGGCCCTGCATCATGGTGGGGACTCTGCTGGCCAAATCCTGCCACCCAGCCCTCAGCTGGCCTGGAAGGGGGACTGAGAAATACAGCCAGTACTAGGGTGGGCTTTGGTGAGCAGTCTCTGCCACCAGGTGGGATGAGAAAATTCATGCCACTCTTAAGGGAAGGATGAGTAATTTCATTTAAATGGAGCATCCCTTTTAGGCTAATATGATCCAGGTTACAAAAAAACCTTGAATGTCAGGCTAAGACTGCATGCTGGAGAAAATAGGCAACCTCTGAAAGTTTCTGAGTGACATGATTAGAACTATTGTGTAGAAAGACCCCGATGTTAGTGTAGAAGATTCATTCATTCTTTCATTCCACACTCATTGAGCACCTCCTGAGTGCCAACTTGGATGAGTTGCAGAGGTGAAACTAAAGATGGGAGATGCACAAAAAGAATTGTTTCAGCAATCCTGGGGAGGGGGAACAGGGCCTGGACAGAGGTGGGAACAGAACTCAAGGAGGCTGAGAGCTGTCTCTGGCTTGTGTGAGCCCTGGCATATGGTTAGGGCTCATGCATTTCTGACTTAGTGAATGGATGAGTGGAAGGCAACAGAGGGGACAGACAGTTGGTTGTGTAACTGAAGGACTTGGTGATGGTGGATCTGGGGAAGTGAGGGAGAGGGAGGAGTGGAAGCTTATGCGAGGCTTAGCTGGGTGATTAGTTGGCTCCAGGTGTCGTTCATGGGGCATTAACCAGAATAAGACTCAGGGGAGGAAGGGCATATTTGGGAGCAGTTGGGACGGTGCCATTCAGGACATTTAGTTTTGTACCAACAAAAACTTCCTGGATATACTGTATCCTCCCTCACATGGCCCACACCTTGGACCTCATCTGATCCCCTTTTTGAGGAACTCCACACATTCCGTCTTGTACTATAATAATGCAGTGTAGGGATTTAAAAAACAAAACAGGCTTTTGTTCCCCAGTTCTGCCACTGGGTGACTTTGAATAAGTTGTTAACCATTCCAAGTCTCAGTTTCTTCATGTGTAAGTTGGTGGTAGTAGTTATAACATCTGCCTCACTGAGTTGTTGGGAGAAGAAATGAAGCGATTGGTGTGAATTTCTTAGTTCAGTGCCTGGCATGGCAAGTGCTCAAAGTTGGACATGACCATCTTATAATTTCCTATAATGACAATGCATTACCTTTATATCATATCCCAAAAGTTAATTAAGGGAAAAAACACGCTTTACCTCCTGTGTCTGCAGCTAGCCTTGGGGAAACAGTCCTTGGGGAAGGAAGGGAGGTCCTTTGCCTGGCTTGATGACTGTGTGTGTGTGTGTGTGTGTGTGTGTGTGTGTGTGTGTGTGTGTGTTGGGAGGTGGGAGGAGAAGATGGAATTCTGGGCAGAGCATCTATAGGGCTGGCTACAGAGGTACAGGTTCTCCGGCCCTAGATACATCTAGAAAGCACTTTCATCCTCTTGGAATCTCAACCTGAGCAGCTGAATCCTATTGCAAAATAGTCATTTAGAAACTGAGTGCACATAAAGCTCAGGAAACCAGAGTCCCATTAGTTCTGAGTCATCTCTACAGAAGACCAAGACACTTTCTAGGCATGAGGCAAGCCTCTGTCTGGTGGTTGAGTCACATAATTGATAACCTTGTTACAATTT